TTTAATCAGTTTAAGGTTGCATACAATGCTCAGAGGGATAAATGAGATTTAAATGACCTTATTGTAGTTTGTGCCCAAGAGGAGTTTAGGATGTGGCGTAAGGCTATTGAAACTAGGGATGACAACGAGCCGAGACGAGTCGGCTCACGAGCTGAAAATCAAGGTTCGAGCTCGGCTCAAGCTTTTTGAAGACAATCCTTTTTTGCCCGAGCCGAGCAAAAGCTAGGCCAAGAAATCGAGGCTCGGGCCTTACCGAGCCAAAACGGGCTGAGCCGAGCCGGCTCAATTTTTTCCCCTTTTTTTTTTCTCTCCCTTTAAAAGGTAGTAGCTAGCTGCCTTTTTACGCTATAACTGGTTTTTTTTCCGATCCGGCTAGCGAGCTACACGGGTCGGCTCAAGCTTTTTGCGGGTCGGGCAACGGGCGACTCGAGCCCTCGAGCCTTTTTGCCATCCTTAGTTGAAACTGTGCAATTAGCTTTTCAGCCATCACAAAAGCAAGAGGTCTTTGCATAACCATAAATCTAAGTTTCGTAATGGCAATTAGTCACACCGAAATCAGTAGAATACAAATTTTGAAAGGTCGACTTCTAGTGGTCCCAAAGGAATTATAAAGAAAAATGATCAATGCAAGTTTGCAAATAGGAGGGTCATTGGCAAAAAGACTGTTTTAAGTTTAAAACTTGGTTAGAAAAAAAGAAGAATTCTGCAGGTATTTCCTTGGCCTTAGTTTGCTTTTAGTCTTTTTTTAGATGTACTTTTGAATTCTTGGTGGTTAAACTCGGGAGCTAGTATTCATATTGCGAATTCTTTGCAGGGTTCACAAGCAAACAAAGACCAAGTAAGAATGAAGTGAGCTTGTGTGTTAGAAATTGAGTTCAAGTGAAGATTGAATTTATAAGAAAAATAAAGTTGTTCTTGGAGTCTAGTATTTATATAGCTTTGAAAATACAGTTTTTGTACCGTAAATGAGACGAAATTTAATTTCTATATCCAAACTTGATGCTTGTGGTTTTTCCTTTAATTTTGATAATGGGATGGTTAAGTTGTTTAATAATTCTCGTTTGATTGTGAATGGCCTTTTATGTAATGGTTTATATAAATTGTCTTTGGCTCCTTTTGATGGAGTATCGTGTGTTACCAATGTATAAAAAAAGGACTCTAATTCGTGAATCGTCTTCTATGTTGTGGCATAAGCGGTTGTGTCACATTTCAATGGATAGAATAGAAAGATTGGTAAAAGTTGAGATACTTTCCTCCTTAGACTTCTCTGATTTTGACACGTGTGGATTGTGTAAGGGAAAAGCTAATTAAGTCTACAAGGAAAGGTTCCACTAGTAGGTATTTTGGACTTGATACATACTGAAATTAGTGAACCTTTGCCTTCCATCATATGTGGGAACACATATTTCATAACTTTTGTAGATGATTTCTCATGATATTGATAAGTTTACCCGATTAATAATAAATCCCGTGCACTTGACAAATTCAAGATTTTCAAAATGGAAATAGAGAAACAATGTGAAAAAAGTATCAAAATTGTAATATCTGACTGTAGTGGTGAGTACTATGGAAAGTATGACGAGTCTGGTCAAAACTTGAGTGATTTTGTAAAGGTTTTACAAGAGTGTGGAATAGTGTTTAATACACCATGCCAGGGACACCTGAACAGAATGTCATTTCTGAAAAACATAATAGACTCTGAAAGATTTGGTTATGAGCATAATAGGTAGAACAAATTTGCTAGAATATCTATAGGATGAAGCCTTAAAAATTGCTATGTATATTTTGACTTGAATTCCAAGTAAAGCTGTTGCAAAGATACCTTTCGAATTATGTCATAATGTAAGCCAATTTGGCTCATTTCAAAGTTTGGGGGATGTCTAGCCAAGGTTAGGATTTATAATCCTTTTGAAAAAAAATTAGGCTCGAAATCCACTCCTGATTATCTTATTGGGTACTTGGACAGATCAAAAGGATATAAGTTCTATTGTCTAAATCGTGGTACTAGAATTGTTGAGTACAGCACTGCAAAATTTCTGGAGAATGATTTTGGTGATAGTATGAGTTCTACATTGAGAGAACTTTTTGTTGAACCAAATCAAGTTGTTGTACCAGTTTGTATTATACAGGAAAAAGTTGGTTCTCAACCAGTTGAAGTTGTTAATAAAGAACCAAGGAATCAAAAGGAACTTCCAATTTCTCCAAGAAGTTAGGAGATCGCAAAGAGAAAGGAGGTCTGTATTGCTAAATGATTACATTAGCTATCTAATGGAGAGCGATTTTATTATTGAGCCTATTGTTTATCTTGTTACTTATAATCCATCATTGATAAGTCCTGAGGCAGATAAATGGATAAATGCTACGGAAGATGAAATGAGTTCTATGGAACAGAATAGAATTTAGGAACTTCCTCCAGATGCTAAAGCTATAGATATAAGTTGATTTTCAAAAGCAAATTGGATTTGAAAGGAAATTTTGAATGAAAGAAAGCAAAATTAGTTGCAAAAGGGTTTACTTAGCGAAAAGAAATCGATTATATTGAAACCTTTTCACCTGTTTCATCGAAAGATTCTTTTCAATTTATTATGGTACTTGTGGTATACTATAATTTGGAACTTCATCAGATGGATGTTAAGATAGTATTTTTGAATGGAGAACTTTCTGAAAAGGTTTACCTGAGACAACTTGAATGCTTTGTTGTTAAGGAAAAAGAAAACTTGATATGCAAGTTAAATAAATCATGGCCTCAAGAAAGCATCTCAACAGTGGAATTTAAAGTTTGATGAGATTGTAACTTCCCTTGGTGTCAAGGACCGCAGCTTTACTTAGTCCATTGACACTATCACAGCCATAGTTTGCCCAACTTCGGCCGCACATTGTAAATATTACTTCAAGTTTAAGTTGTAATTTTTTTTCATTGTAATAGTTATTTCAATTGTAAAATAGCTTTGATATTAGTAAATGTTTAGTATGATTCCTCGTCTTTTAAACGTCTACTCTTGTCACTTAAGATTTTTGTTCAGAATGCTATTATAGGGGATATTAGTCATTCAAAAATTTTTCAAGCTCACTGGTGTTCGTCCCCTACACCAGCAATTTTAATTTTCTGCTTTCGTTAATTGTAATGTTCAATTTTCATCAATAAATGTTCAATTTACTTTCAATGTATTCAAATTCTCTATTGTAACTTTTCTACAAAATTGTAATCAAATTTTCTTTCGTCCCGACGCGACCGAGAAAAGGTGGAAGGTAGTCTAGTGGAGTAGATTACTGTCGTACAGTGTCCCTTTTTGTGTTAAGAAGAAAGGCACCCTGTGAAAGTTGGTATCAGAGCTGTGGCTCACGACCCTCGATAAGAAAGCTATGGATCCAATTACATCCCACACCACTGAAGTGGTAGAGCCTCAAAAGAAGGGTACTACTAAATAGTGCGTGTATGTGCTTGATGAGACAACTCCTAGGTTGTGCTTTACTTTGGAAGGTCTCGAGGAAAAAGTCAAGATGGCCAAATCTGAGATTCATGGATTACACATCCAACTAGATGCAAGCCAAAGGGCTTGCGCAGCAATGACTGAAGCTGCTGCAATCATTCCTGATCTGCAGGATGAAATGGAAGCGCTGAGAGCTCAATTACGGGTACTCCAACGTGCGGTGGGTAATGGGCAAGTTCCCGTACCTAATTATGCTCCTAGACTCAGAATTCCTGAACCGTGTACCTATGGAGGGGCACGTGATGCAAAAGAAGTCGAAAACTTCTTGTTTGATATGGAACAGTAGTTTCTCGCAGCTTCGATCGAGGACGAAGCTAGAAAGGTAACTATAGCTACCATGTATGTGGGTGGAGATGAAAAACTATGGTGGCGAACCAAATATCCTGATATTCAGGCCCATAGGGTTCGAATAGATTCTTGGGATCTCCTCAAGGAAGCGATCAGATCGTAGTTTTTCCCGGAAAAATGTCAAGTATCACACTCGACGGGCACTTTGAGACCTGAAACACACAAGCTCTATCAGGGAGTATGTGAAATCTTTTTCAGGACATATGCTGAATATTTGAGATATGTCGGAAAAGGATAGGCTCTTTACCTTTATGGAAGGGTTGAAACCATGGACACGCACGGAACTTCAAAGACAGAAAGTTACCAATTTGAGCATGGACATGGGAGCTGCTGAATGCTTGAGCGACTACCAAACAGAATCTAGAAAAGATCGACCTTCGGGGAGTAATCAAGCAATTGGAGGTGGTAACAGATCTTACAGACCGAGTTCGAACCCAAATGGGGGAGAGAGTTACTCTCAGAATAGAGAAGGAGCCTATCAAAGCACCCCTGGCTTTCAGGGAAACTATCATAATAACCGTCAAGGAAATTTTAACGGCAGCAATAGTAACAACTGGAACAAAGGAAAAGCAACGGAGGGCCGAACTGATGCCACTCTCAAATTGAAGTGCTTTTTATGTGAAGGACCTCATCGGGTGTCGGAGTGTCCTCAGAAGCGGATGGTGAATGCATATTGTTAGTTAGTAAGTCGCGGGTCGAGTTCAAAGAAAGAGGCCCCACAGGCTAATTGTCATAGCGAGATCGACTCCGAAGAGGATGAGGGCGTAGTTGGGGCATTTTCATATCGGTGCAACACACTGTCGCATCTATTGCTCAAAAAGACGATGTCCCATCGAAAGAGGTAAAGATGGAAAAAGCGAAGGCTCGAATTTGTAGGGTCAAAGGCTTAATGTACATTGATGCAAAAATCAATGAGAAGCCAATTAAGGCTATGGTGGATACTGGTGCTACCCACAACTACCTTGCATGTACCGAAATAGAGCGGCTCTGACTTGTTCTGGAAAAGGGTAGTGGAAAAGTCATAGCAATCAACTCCGCTGCTCAACCAATAGCTGGAGTAGTGAAATCGGTATTGATCAAAACAGGTCCTTTCAAGGAAAGGACAAATTTATCTGCAGTTCAGATGGATGATTTCAAGCTACTTCGCCCGATTCGTTAATGATGATAGGTAATAAGCCGTGTGTCATCCCTACACAGGTTGGGAGGATGGGCGAGAAGAGTATCTTAGCCATGCAATTTAGCAAGGGTTTTAAGAGAAATGAACCTTCTTTTTTGTTCACTCTTTGATTAGAAGAGATCGAAGAGGCGAATGGTCTCATTCCAAAACTCATTAAAAGGCTTATTAAAGAATTTGAGGACATCATGCCGGACGAATTACCAAAGAAATTGCCACCAAGGAGGACGATTGATTATGAGATTGAACTTATTCCAGGCGCCAAACCTCCTGCTAGGGCACCATACCGTATGTCTCAGCCTGAGCTTGAAGAGTTTAGGAAGCAATTGGGAGAAATGTTGGAGAGTGGAATCATTGTGCTGGTGAAGTCGCCATATGGAACTCCTGCATTGTTTTAGAAAAAGGTCGATGGTTCTCTTAGGATGTGCTGCACTATCGAGCCTTCAACAAGATTACTGTAAAGAATAGCTATCCTATCCTACTGATTTACTTCGATCAACTAAGTCGGGCGAAGTACTACACAAAAATTGATTTTAGGTCCGGATACTGGCAAGTTCGGATCAAGGAGGGAGACGAAGCAAAGACTACGGTGGTAACCAGATATGGAGCCTTTGAATTTAAAGTGATGCCTTTTGGTTTGACAAATGCTCCAGCGACATTTTGTACTATGATGAATCAGGTACTTCATAGGTTCTTAGATGATTTTTTTGTAGTGTACTTGGATGACATAGTAATCTACAGCGAGACATTGAAGGAACATGTCCAGCATGTGAGGCAAGTTTTTAATCGGCTACGAGAAAATGAACTCTATGCCAAGCCGTCTAAATGCTCATTTGCTCAGACATCTATCAGTTTCTTGGGTCACATCATTGAACAAGGTAAAATCAACATGGATTCGAAGAAGGTTACAGCCATTAAAGATTGGCAACCACCAAAAATCGTACATGATGTACGTTCATTTCTTGGGTTATGCAATTACTATTGAAGATTTGTGAAAGGCTACTTAGAAATTGCACTGCCACTTACCGAATTGACAAAGAAGGATAAGGATTGGGATTGGTCAACTCAATGTCAAACTGCTTTTGAAAGGTTGAAGAAGTCCATGTTGACGAACCCGATTTTAGCCTTACCGAATATAACTAAACCATTTGAAGTTCATACAGATGCTTCAGATTTTGCACTTGGTAGAGTCCTCATGCAAGAAGGACATCCGGTAGCATATGAGAGCCGGAAGTTAAACTAGACAGAACGTCGTTACTCGGCACACGAAAAAGGATTGTTGGCAGTAGTCCATTGTCTCAGAGGATGTCGTTACTATCTGCTTGGGTCTCCATTTATTGTAAAGACAGATAACACTACAGTTAGTCACTTCATGTCCCAACCAAAACTATCGAGCAAATAGGCTCGTTGGCAGGAATTCATTTCAGAGTTCAATTTTATGTTAGAGTATCGTCCCGGCTCTAGTAATCATGTTGTTGATACTCTTAGTCGACGGGCTAATTTGGTTGCCATCTGCTTCGTAGCTGCTCTTTCAGGAAGCGCCGTCTCCACGAACACTAGAGACCAAATTCGGGCACTTTTGGAGAAGGACCTGACTACCCAATATTTGGTCGACCTCATCAAGCAGGGTAAAACTTGACAGTTTTGGCTCGATGGGAAAGTAGTGAAGACAAAGGGAGACCGCCTATATATTCCTAAGGTCGGAGATATGAGGAAATCACTAATTACAGAATGTCATGACACAATTTGGGCAGGACATCCCGGAGAGGAACGCACTTGTGCACTACTGCAACGTGTATACTACTGGCCTCAAATGCTGGACGACATTGCAACATAAGTAAAAACTTGTCTTATTTATCAGCAAGATAAGACAGATCATCAGAAAAAGACGGGCTTGCTGGAGCCCCTTTCCGTCCCAACATAGCCATTCGAAAGTGTATCGATGGACTACATTATTGGGTTGTCAAAAGTTGAGGATTTTGGCACTATCATCGTCGTGGTGGACCGTCTATCAAAATATGCAACTTTCATTGTAGCGCCTAAGTATGTATCCGTGGAAGAGACAACTCAACTCTTCTTCAAACATATTGTCAAATACTGGGGACTGCCTAAGGACATTGTCAGTGATCGAGATCCTTGTTTCACTGGCATATTTTAGACTGAGTTGTTCAAACTTCTTAGTTCAACTTTGAGCATGAGTTCTAGTTTTCACCCACAATTTGACGGACAGACGGAGCGCTTCAATTCTATGCTAGAAGAATATTTTCGGCACTTTATCTCTACTTCGTAGAAAAACTGGGTAAAACTTTTGGATGCAGCTCAGATTTGCTTTAATGCCCAAAAGAGCTCTTCCACCAATAAGAGTCCTTTTGAGATTGATACTGGCCAGCAACCACTGCTCCCTCATACAGTGGACATCGAACGAAGTACCAAGTCCCCTCAAGCAAAGAACTTTTCTGGAGAGTGGAACGAAATATTGAAATTGCTCGGAGTAATCTTGAGAAAGCTCAAAAACGGTATAAAAAGGTTGCAGATCTAAAGTGCCGTTTCATTGAATTCAATGTTGGAGATCTGGTAATGGTTAAACTTCCCGACATAAATGTTTACAAACCAATAAGAGGGAAGGACTCAAGATTGTCACCAAAATACATTGGACCATTACCCATCGTGAAGAGGATTGGAAGAGTTGCATACGGAGTTGAACTCCCTTCATGGTGTAATATCCACAAAGTTCTTCATGTTAGTGTGTTGAAGCCATACTTTGTGGATAAGGAGGACGCATCTAGAAATGAGCCAAAGCGACCTGTGTTTGAACTGAAGAAAGCTGGAAAGAAAGTTGCTGAAACTATTCTTGACCATTGAATCACTCGAGCTTCTAGAAAAGATCATCAGGAGTATTTGGTCAAATGGATTGGATGCAGCAACGAGGAGAATACTTGGAAAAGAGAAAAAGATCTCGGAGCCTTCAAATCATTAATTGAAGCATATCATACATTGATGGCATCGAGGACGTCGCCAAAACAAATGGGGGAGAATGTCAAGGATCGCAGCTTTACTTAGCCCCTTGACACTATCATAGCCGTAGTTTGCCCAACTTAAGCCACACATTGTAAATATTACTTCAAGTTTGAGTTGTAATTTTCTTTTCATTGTAATAGTTATTTCAGATGTAAAATAACTCTGATATTAGTAAACGTTTAGTATGATTTCTCGTCTTTTAAACGTATACTCTCGTCACTTAGGTTTTTGTTCAGAATGCTATTATAGGGGGTATTAGTCATTCAAAAATCTTTCAAACTCACTGGTGTCCACCCCCTGCACCAAAAATTGTAATTTTCTACTTTCGTCAATTGTAATGTTCAGTTTTCATCAATCAATGTTCAATTTACTTTCAATGTATTCAAATTCTCTATTGTAAGCTTTCTACAAAATTGTAATCAAATTTTCTTTCATCTCGACGCGACCAAGAAAAGACAGAAGGTAGTCTAGTGAAGCAGTCTACTGCCGCACAGTGTCCCTTTCTGTGCAAAGAAGAAAGACACCCCGTGAAAGTTTTGTCAAAAATAGAGTTGATCAATGCATTTATCTCGAAATCAGTGGGAGAAATTTTATTTTTCTTGTCTTGTATATTGATGATATTTTGTTTACTAGCAGTGACTAAAGGTTACTTCATGAGAAAAAAAATTGTTGTTTGACAATTTTGAGATGAAAGATCTTGGAGAAGCTTTTTATGTTCTTGGCATTAAAATATATCATGATAGAAATCATGGCTTATTAATGTATACGATGTGTTTTAGAAAGGTTCAATATGCAGAATTGTGCACCTGATGATGTACTTATCATAAAATGGGATAAATTTAATAAAGCTCGGTGTTCAAGAAATGAGCTATAAAGGGAATCTATGAAGATAATACCATATGCTAATACTGTGGGGAGCTTAATGTATGCTCAAGTTTGCACTATACGAGATATAGCGTACGCAGTTTGTGTCCTTAGTAGGTTTCAGTCAAATCAAGGAAAAGAGCATTGGAAAGCAGCTAAAAAAGTTATAACATACTTGAAAAAAAATGAAGGTTATATGCTTACATTTCAGCGTTCAAATCACCTTAAAGTGGTAGGGTACTCAGATTCTGATTATACTGGATGTAAAGATGATTTGCAATCAACCTCAGGTTATATTTTCATGTTAGCTGATGGTGCTATCTCTTGGAAAAGTGTTAAACAGACTCTAGTGACATTTCTACTATGCAAGCTGAATTTATGGCATGTTATGGGGCTATAATCCAATCCGTTTAGTTAAGAAATTTCATTTCTGGATTGAAAGTTGTTGATTCCATTTCGAGGTCAATCACTATCTATTGTTATAATAGCTCAGCAGTGTTTTTTTTTTTTTTTAAATTTTGGTGGGTCAAAGTATACTGAAGTCAAATATTTGATGGGTAAAGACAGTCAAGGAAGGGCAGATGAATAGAGAGCATATCAATACAGAGACGATGATTGCAGATCTTTGATTAAGAGACTCGTTCCAAATATTTTTAAGACACATGTTAATATGGGTATTGTAGAAATCTTTGATGTTTTGGGTTTGTGGGAGTTATATATGTGTAAAAGGACTACGTTTTGGCTTGATCCCTTTACAGGGTTTGCCGGCAACCCATATGTTTTTGGATACAATATTTTTTCAATAATAAAATACATTTTCCCCTATCCATGAATTATTTTTAGCATACTTTTGGTTATTTATTTTTTATTGTGACATTATTATGATTTCAAGATATGACAGATAAATACATAATACGAGTCTCTTTTAGAGAAATGTGGCTTTATTTTGATTGGAAGCATTGTAAGAACCGATATGAATTAGCACAGTTTTTATCACATTTGGTGTTAAGTTCATACCACATACTACTACATTGGTTGGAGGATGGGGATCCGTGTCGATAAGAATGTTGGCATTGTAGTTGTGGAGTGGTCTTACATCGTTTAATTGATGTAACGACTTCTATGCTCGGTGTTAACATTCTTATTGCACCGAATCATATTGTGTAAGGTGTCATTGGTAAATACGGGCTTCCCTAAATTTTGCTCAAATACATTAAGTGATCAATTTGATTGTTTTACACCTTAGGGTTATATGTTATATAGTGTGGTAATTTTAAGTATGTGAGCCGAAAATACATATAAACCCTAATTAGAGTTTAAATCATAATGGGACGGCTCAACAATTTCTTATATAAAGGTTAGCTCCCCTTTCCTTTTCATATTATTTTATTAGCTTGCCACATTGATGGCTAATACTTTTTGAAGAGTAAGGAGGGAAAGATGTAGCTATTAATATTTGTACGATATCTTCCGCAGGTATGGATTTGAACTATCAATTTATTATATGTGATTTTTG